AAACGTTCAATAATTCAATTTTTTATTATTAGCCAAATAGGGAACTGAAAAGTCACTTTTAAGTGTAGTTGTTTCTCTAAATGGTAATTTGTAATGTTTTATAAAACCTCAATACATTTTTTTTATTGTATTTACTTGTTAGATGTTCAGTCACTTTTTGACACTTTAAAACTAATCTTTTTATAATTTTTATGCACATTTAAAAATTTTTTTTCCTAAATGATTTTAAAAAATGCATTTGTAATTAACATGATAAATTTAAAAAAATTAATTTTAAATATTAACTTTAATACATAACACTTGAATGTAATGTAAAAATTAATATTTATTTATTGATAAATCTAACCCTTAAATTATTTAAAAAATCTGTGTTGAGCCTATTTAGATGAAGAAACTTTTTATCAATTTAGAAAAAATTTAGCTTTTATTTATTTTATTAAAACTTTTTTATGGTAAAATAAACGAGGTTTAGTGGAAATATTTAAAGATAAGTTAAAACATTAAAAAATCATCTTGACAGTCAAAAGATTTCTTTTGCTTAAAAGTATTATATTCGGACTAAAAATGGCCGGAGAGAACTAAAGCAAGTGGACCTTACCCTTTTCAAAGATCCAAATCTAAAGTACATTTTTAAAGATTTTCACATTTCTAAACAACTTAGAAAGATATACCAATCAGCAACTATATAAATAAAAGACACCAGCTTTTGACACATTATTACATTACAATCCTTCTAAAAATAGACTAGATGCAAAAGTGATTGATAACAATAGGAAGCACCAAAATAAACCCAACAGCTTATTATAAAAACCTTTTCATGGTTTCCACACAAAACACAACAACCCAATAGTATGTGTAGCATAATTCATCTAGTTATATTTTAAAGGGGTGTTTGAATTGATTATTTAAATATAATTGATAATTGACTGTTGATATTAATGGTTGATAGCTAATATTTAATAATTGATAATTATGGTTGTTTACAATTTAGATTACTAAATCTATTCAATTAAAACTAACAAGTAATTTAAAACAACACCTCTAAATAATAAGTGATAAACTTTTATTTGTTTTATTAAATCACTCTAATGTCTACTTAGTTATATCCTAATTTCTTATTGTTTAATATCCAAAACTCATTGCTCCCCGGGTGACTTGCAAGTTCTTTATTAAAGAAACTCAAGCAACAACACAATTCCTCTCCTTTTAGTTGCTCTATTTTAAAAAAATTCCCAGATGTATTAAAGCACGCGTACATGTCTTGAAGATGCATATTTGATTTCTATTTATATTAACTACTCATTCTATTGTTGCCATGCTTATTTTAGATGCACATTTTTGCTACTCATACAAATTGATCGGCTCAGCTGCTATCATTATATCATACAAAATATCTTGGGTAAATTGCATTCAAATATTCAATTTATTGTGGTTTTGGTGGGTGCGCTTCATTCACCCCAGAATCAAGAAGATGCTTCCTTTCCCTATTGAAGTTTTCTCCCTAAATTAATTGTGTGAGTGTGAGAAGAGGAAAAATGAAAAACAAGAGAGAGTCAGATCTGGGGATGGCTTGCATGAAAACAACATTCAAAATGTCAAATGTGTTCGATCTTAAATTTAAGAGGGAAAAATGAAAAATAAGAGAGAGTAAGATCTAAGATATTAAATATTTAGGTTTGCAAAAATATTAAAAAAATTTTAAAGGAGTAATCTTCTTACTTTTTTTGTATTTTTTTAAAGACAAGATATTTAGATTTACAGTTTCACAAAAAAAAAAATAGAGTTAGATCTGATATATATAACATGCAAATTTGATAAAAAAAATTTAAAACCTTTTAAAAGAATGACCTTTTTAATCTTTTTACTCTTTTATCTTTTTTTTAGAGATTAAATATTTTGATCTACAATTTAAAAGAGAAAAAAAAAACACAAAATTAGATCTGACATATATAATATGTAAATTGGAAAAAAAATTTAAAAATTTTAAAGAAATGATTTTTTTTACTTTTTTATCTCCGCTATGAAATTGAATTTTTAATGAATGTGATTAAATTTTGAGAT